AATTGAACGCCTGCTCTGTAGGAATGGAGTGATCTACTCCAGAAGAGAGAAGAGGCCAAGGTCAAAGAAAGTCATCTTCATCTTTTTTTTTTTAAGATCTAATTTATTTATTTGAAAAGGGGAGAGAATGAAAGGAGGAGAGGAGCAGAAGCAGAGTCCCAATTGAGCAGTGAGTTGGACATGGGGCTCACCCTAGGACCCTAAGGTCATGACCTGAGCCGAAGGCAGATGCTTAACCAACTGAAACACTCAGGTACCCCAGATAGTCATCTTCGAATCTCTGAAGTTCTGTATAGAAAAGTTTTAACTTAACCTTCCTGACCCACAATGGGAGAATAATGTCTAAACATGCAGAAGATTCCGGGAGACAAATTCTGATACAATACAAGGAAGATCTTTCTGGCAATCTATAATTCCCAAAGATGGACTGGGCTCACTTGACATAGGAAGCATTTGTGTGTAACTACTTGGAACAGATGTCTGTGAGGAATTGAGGCGCAGTGCTATTCTGATGTCCTCTAAGGTCCTTTTCTACCTGGATGTTCTGAGTCAAGGCAGATCTTTTGCCGCTCTGCCTAGCCACAGGGCCTCATGCTTAACCAGCTGGCAGTGATGCGGATGGGCAGCAGGGAATTGCAAAAGACACAAGCAAGTGCAGGCCGAGGTGGAGCACAAGGAGGAGAGAGAGACTAGAGAAGGGAAGGAGTGAGGAATGACTCGTGAGTGACTAGACTAGTGTGAGCCACTATGCTGGGTAGTCCTGTGTGTTCCTGTTCGTTAGCTCTCTGACTTGGGTCCAGCCACAAGTTTATAAGTTAGGAGGCTGCTCAGATGACACGGATGCTCTGGGGCAAGGCTGGACCACAGTCCAGGCTATGTGGACTGGCCCCTTCTGGCCCCACCTGGCCTTCTGCCATCATCCTTGTGAGCCACAGAGAGCATACGACATGTGTCACTATGAGACAATCTGCCTTTAGTCATCTTTGTCTCGGGTAGACTTCAACTTACCCAAGGGGCAGCGCTGACGCAAGGCCACATCCTGCTTTTTCACTAGATCAGACATCTAGTGTTAAAGCCATCCTGCATGGCATGGGACCAAAGGCCCCTCTCTCCCTTGCTGATAGGTCACCTACTTCTGTCCCATTGTCCTCCAAGAAACCGATGCCCAGTTTGTTGCTGGGTAGGAATCTAACTTCCCACTTGAACCAGTTCCTGTCCTCCAGTGGGGAGAGCAGAGAAAGTCTAGACACAACCAGCCTTCCTCCGTGCCTCCAGAAGATAGCAGCCTGGGGACAATATTTATTTACATTGCAAAGGAACTTGATAAAAGATTGAGAAATACTTCCGATATTAATTACAATAATCATCAGATTATGTGGATTAAATGCTCATTCCCCAGAGGATCAGATTAGCCCCTTATCGTACTTGTATGTAAGCACCACCCCTCCCCCCACAAACAGAAGTGATCGGTGTGTAAGAGACCAGATTCAAATTTAAATTCTGAGTTAGCTCTATCCTACATCCCCCAACCCCCTCTGTGGTTTCTCTCTTCTAGTTGTTCAACTGCCTTTGGCTTTGCTGTGGAGTCCATTTTGTCACCTGCCAAGGATGGATGTTATGGCAGCCATGCTGTGGGCTTTGTCCTGGTGCTAGCAGTCCAAGGAAAATTGTTGACAATGGGCAAACCAATTGCCGTTAGGGATCTAAGTTCTTACCTTCTCCTTATCTGATCATTCACTGTAAGTAATTCATGGTGAATTTCAATATCATATCGTATCTCCTTGGCCCTGTGGAGGTTAACATATGTCCTGATCAGAATGAGGGAGGGCTTGTTCTGATCTTCCTAAGGTGGCACACAGAAGGCTTCACTTTTGGTAACTGGCAGACCACTATACCCCCTGCTCCATAAAAGCTGGGGTTTAAGGTCTGGATGGGGCAGAGAATGGCTGGGTACCACCTGGATTGTCTGTCTGCCCAATGCTCCCTGTCAGGAAGTTACCCTGAATAAAACTCTGTGAATGGTTAAAAAAAAAAAAAAAAAAAGACTGGTGCCCCCTTGCTCACAGCATGAAGATCTGGTGTCTTGAAATGGGTCATGTCAATAAGTCAAATCTAGGGTGCAGGTGTTTGTAAAATGTCCTAGTAAGAGGTAATCAGGACCACATCCTGGGATTGGAGTCAAGTTTCATGAACTTGGTCACCTTTTAAGAGCTCACTTTATAAGTATCTCTGGTGAATGATGGGAGAGAGAGGAAATGAGCACCACAGCCTCAGACTCTGACTCATCCTTACCTGGCTGTCTGACACTGAGGAAGTTCCTATACTGCTCTGATCCTTAGTGCCCTGGTCTGTGAAAAGGGAATATTCATATCCACCACACGAGGATGTTCTTCAGATTAAAGGAGAGCGGTCAGGGGAACATGGCACCTCAAAGACAGCCTGGAGCAGAACACATGCTCTGGAGATAGAGCTCCTCTCGTCCCCCTCCTCCATGCCACGCTCTCCACCACAGGCAGTGACACTCTGTAAGTCCACCTCTGCTTTCCATCATCAGTGCCTGGAGTCAGAGAAGAGGCTAGAGGTGGAGGTTGTGAGGCTAAGACCAAAGCTACAGCCGCCCACGCTTGACTCCTAGGAGAAACGACAGACCACCTCAATCTCTTCACATCAGTCACAGCAATGGTACAGATCTCTATCACATAATGGGTGTCATCTCTAAGAGGAAGGAGTTCTGGTTCTGGTCATCCTGGAGGGGAGAACTAGGTCCAGTAGGTCGAGATTGTACAGGGACAGACACCAGTGTTATATAAGATAGAACTTCCCCATTTATTAGAAATATTGGACAGTGAAGCTGGAAGCCTCCAACGTTGAGTGGCTGTGTGTTGAGGATCTTATTGAGGGAACCATACATTTGACAGAGGCTGGTCTAGGCGACAGCTGGCCCCTGCCAATTCTTCCCAGCTAGGGAATAATGTCCACGGTGCTCAGCACCCTTGTTAGGATGACTAACTCCCACTGCAGGATTGCAGACAGCAACTTTTAAGGCAATGCTGTGTTGCATGGCGTTCTGACATTGTTTTAAGACTATTTGAAGAGACAAACATGATTTGAAGTTGACAAGAGACTGGCCAAAACACTTAAAGGGGGGATGAGATGCCCACAGGGGTTATAAAAGAGCTTGAACATATTCCTGGGAATCTAGAGAGAGCAGGCTTTAGTTGAGGATCTTGATGCCCATGCCCATTGGTATTTCTGGCTTGCCAGCTTCTCCAGCACCCAGTTTGGTTTATGTGAAGCAGAAAGAAAATCCAGGGAGGAAACCCTCCACCATGCCTTTGGGTGCAGAGGTCCCTAGCAGTTTGCCTTCTTTCCACTGCTCAGTCTCTTACAATTGTTTCATAAGTGGTATCCAGAGATTTTCATTGTTCTCAGGGGGAAGAATAAAGTACACATACTCCATTTTTCCTGGAAGCAAAAGTTAAAAGTATATTTTTCTTGTTTGACATTGTCTTATCTTTTTGCTGGTTGGAACTATTCATTTATCTTCCTTTTATTTTATCGATGATTTTTTGTTTTTATTTGAAAACTATATCTATATCTGGGGAGCTCCTCGTGCATAGACTGGAAAGCATCTCAGATGCATGGCCACACTGGGCCGCAGCCTCATCTCTCATAAATGCTCCTCAGCACCCATGATGGCCACAGAATGAGCCACGGCTTCCCAGGAGTTGGTGTTCCCTGAAGATAAGATCCCTGTTCACTGCAGCCTACTCCTGGCCAAGAAATTTTATCCATTTCTTGTTGGTTTTTTTTTTTTTGTTTGTTTCCTATTGAATAGTCAGTGGGTATAATTGGAGATGAGCTTTGTCATTATACCTTTTGTGCCAGAAATACTACCCCTGAACTCTTGGTTTTACAGAGTCTGAACCCACTCACTTAGCCAGTGGCAAACTAGGGCTAGCAGTGGTGGAGATCCTCCCAGCCTGATGCCACCAAGCAGAGCACACCTGTGAGCCAACAAACGTGCAGCAAGGTTGATGGGGGCCCAACAGGCAGCTGCTTCTTGCTTTTTCAAGAAAATGAGAGGCTCAAAGCTGCAGCAGGAAGAGTGTCCTCAGGCTATCATACCCACCAATTGTTCAACAGAAGACAAGGAAGAAAGAAACCTAGATTTAATTTTTGGTATTTTACTTATATACTCATGAGAGACACACAGAGAGAGGCAGAGACATAGGCAGAGAGAGAAGCAGGCTCCCCGCGGGGAGCCCGATGTGGGCCTCCATCCCAGGACCCCAGGATCATGACCTGAGCCAAAGGCAGATGCTCAACTGCTGAGCCACCCAGGTGCTCCAGATTTCTGGTATTTTAGAATGCAGATATATCAACAGGCCACCGTCTCCATGTGGCAGCTTCCCGCTGTAGCAAGGATCCTTTTGAACACCAGGAAAGACAGTTTGTCTTGTGTTTGGATGCATCCAACCCCATTATAAAGAGGCATCCCTGACCATGGGCAAAAATTCTAGGTCTAAAGAAGAACAAAGATGCTCCAGCCTGCATTTGCACTTGACCTGAACGTGTGGTGAACTTTTTATTCTTTCCTCCCAAACGGATCAAGGGAAGGACACTTCAGGGTTGAAAAGCAAGAATGCCACATCAGCATTCTTTAAAAAGCAGAATTATAAAATCCAGGAACAAACCAAAACAAGCAGCCACAGCATGGATCCCCAGTGCACTCGCTGTTGTTTGTAGAATGGGGCCAGCTGTAGAAATTTGCAAACGGCTTTGAACCCAGACAAGACCTCTGACCCAAGACCATGATTCACATTACACTAGGTCAGCAAAGCCAAATGCGTGTGCATTCTCTGTAGCACCTTAGAGGAAAGTCTGGCTGCGTGGGTGAGATAGGAATATATTAATTTCCTGGACACTTAGTTTACTAGGGAAAGATTAACAGGTCTGTGATAGGTGAAAGCTCTCTGATTTCTCCCCGACTGATACAGAGGAGGGATTGTTTGTGGTGCTGGAATGAGGTAGCACAAACCTGCGGAGTGTGACCTTACAAGGAACACAGCATCTCGCCCTGTTACTCGCTGGGGGCATTTGGGGAGAGCAGCGGGACCCACATCCACCCGAGCGGCGCACGGCTGGAAATCAACCGGAGCCAGGAAAGGTCTGGATCAAAGGCTGGTCACTTTCTGAAATAAACTCCCTCCCACCGCTAGACTCTTGCTCAAGAGCTGTGCTGAGCTGGCCAGGGCCTCGCACCAGCGCAGGGAAAAGCATCGGGACCTCTCCTGCCTCCGGAGATCATGCCAACTGTGGATGACATTCTGGAGCACATAGGGGAATTTAACTTTTTCCAGAAGCAGACGTTTTTCCTCTTAGCTCTCATGTCCGTGGCGTTCACCCCCGTCTACGTGGGCATCGTCTTCCTGGCCTTCACCCCGGATCACCGCTGCCTGAGCCCCGGGGCGGCCGAGCTGAGCCGGCGGTGCGGCTGGAGCGCGGCAGAGGAGCTCAACTACACGGTGCCGGGCCCGGGGCCCGCGGGCGACGCCTTCCCCCGCCAGTGCCGCAGCTACGCGGTGGACTGGAACCAGAGCGCCCTGGGCTGCGTGGACCCGCTGGCCGGCCTGGCCGCCAACAGGAGCCACCTGCCGCTCGGGCCCTGTCTGCACGGCTGGGCCTACGACACGCCCGGCTCCTCCATCGTGACCGAGGTGAGTGAGCGCAGGACCTAGAGCAGGAAAAAGCCAGCAGAGTGGCTCCTAAGGAAGAAGCCAGGTAAGGCTGCGCTCTTAACACTGTCTGGACATGCTCCTTGGACTCAAGGTATCTTATAAAATCCTAGTTTCCAACCAAGACATGCAACCTCGTATTTGGAGTAGGAGCGAAGTAGTTAAGACTTCATCAAATTCTGACAATAAGGATTCCAGTTCATGCAAGTTTCAGGGGTAAGAAACAAACCAAGCATAGCAGAATTTCCAGAAAAGGGGAAATGTTCAAGCTTGCTCTTTTTTTTTTTTTTTTTTTCTGGAAGCCCTCCATTCTGCCAGCATAACAGATAGATACCTGAAAGCTCACGGAACTTACCTGAATGGTGCCTTCCTGTGATAGGATACATTTTTTTTTCTCTTGGTGGCTATTTTTCTTTCTATGATTTGCTCAAAATGATTGCATAGAATTACCTGGGGTTGGAGCCTTGGCTAAGGCACTATTATTCCTTTATTAAAAACTCCAGTTGACGTTAGCATCTAATTATGAAGCCTCATTTTAATAAAAATAGAGAAAACAGCAAAAAAAAGTGGAGACCTGCTTTTATTGGAGACAAAGAAAAATAGGAGGATGGAATTATTCTAAAAATACAGAGAAAGCCAGCTGCCTGGCTTAATTTAAATGGACCACTTAGATAACGTGAGGATGTTCTGTACGAACAGATATTTAGGTAGAGGAGCTTTTCTCAAATGGTCTAGTAGTTATTTGAAGTCACAGATACAGGTCACAACACCATACAATTTTAAGAGGCTTTACAGCGTGGCTTGATCTCACCCTTTCATACAGAGAAGAGGACACTGAGGCCCGGAACAGAGAAAGATTTTGCCCAAGGCCAGAGAGAGAGAGAGTTAGCAGTTCGTTCTAGAAATTGGATCTCCCTACTTCCAGGCCAGCACCTGTTTTTTCTTCAACATTGCCTCTTGTTCCAAATGTGAGCAAATGTAAGAGCCTGTAGAGATGCTCCTGATTCCCCTACTAGTAAAGAGACAGCAAAGGGAAGCGGAACAGCCCAGCTTCCTCAGGGCAGCATTTGTATCCTATTTACACACCCATTTGCTTCTGTATATCAAAGTTAGAGAGGGAGAGTGGGGTGTAAATGGAGTACTTACCTGCTTTCAACTGATCTAGCCAACAACAGAATTTGACCTAATGACACACTTCCAGAGGGAATGCCAAATAGATCGTGGGACAAATTTTTCAGTTGTATAAAGAAAATTCACATAAGCCAGAGAACAGTTCGTTTATTGCCCTGTCGTTCAGCCACATTGGTTCAACGAGAGGAATATTCAATGAGTTCCCGGGCTGAGCTGTGTCTAAGAGGATTTTGTTTTCTTTCCTGACCCGGGAAACCTCTCGCCCCTCTGCAGTTTAACCTAGTGTGTGCCAATTCCTGGATGCTGGACCTGTTTCAGTCGGCTGTGAACGTAGGATTTTTTATCGGTTCTGTGGGTATCGGCTACCTAGCAGACAGGTAGGTGCCGCACGAATGTGATGGGACTTGAGTATTCCTGAAGGTCTGAAAAGCACTTGGATTCTCCTGCCCCTGCTTGAGTAGCATCCTTTCCCCCAAACACCCAGACCACAATTTCCTGGTCTCATGTCATTGTCTTGACAATTTGAGATTTCTTCTGTGGCTTAGATCAGCATGAGCAATGTGAATATATTCTAATTCCTTGGAGAATAGAGGGATATTTCTACATTAAGCAGCAGTTTTTTCCTTGTGGGCTATCCGGAAGCCGGGGGTCAGAAAAAAGAGTAATAGATGACTTGATGTGTGATTCCTGATTCATGGGCCTCATCACCATCTCCCCATTCCTGAGCCTGCAGGGCCCCTGAGGTCTTCCCTCCTCTTCCTGCCCCTCCTATACCCAGATCCAGTGTAGACTCTCCTTGCGGCTGTCCTTGCCTGGCCCACAGCATTGCAGGCGTCCTGGACTGGGGCCTTGGGACCAGATGTAATAATAGGTGAGGAGCCCAGGATATGATCTGGTAAAAGGGAAACTGGGTCCATCTACACTGACAGAGGTAAGTATCATGTTAGTGTCCCTGGAGTGAGATGAGGAAAGATCTCTATGTGTAGAACATACAGCAAATGGTCCTCTCATATAATCTGTGTCTTCAGGGAGCCAGCTTTCAAGGAGTTGTATGAATCCAGCTGTGCCTGTATGTCTTATCTATCAATCACTTTGTAAACCCAAATTTGGTGTTCTGGAAGTTCCTTATAACATACATCTTTACTAGGTTGATGGCCAATTAGATATTTTTAGGAGTCTCCAAAGGGAAAGGAACAGAAAAATGTGCTTTATAGTTGGGACTTTAGCACTCATAATACTGACCATTTATTGGGTGTTTTCTGGGTACCATGCACCATGTTCAACTGTTTAGATAGTATCATCCTTTTTAATAACCAGCCACCCATGAGCTCGTGATGTATAACTGTAGAATAAATATATCTAATACAATTTATTTAATAAATTTATAATTTATTACAAAATATAAGTATATATTTAATTCTAAAATAAATAGCAAACATACTTTATACTTGCTGCCCTCCCCAACTATTTCTGTGATGCAAAGAAACCGAAACCTGTGATATTATATTAAATGTAAATCAAATATTTTCTTTGATTATGCTGCTGTATTGTCAGGCTGGAGGAAAAGTTGCAAATGAGTTAAAGATTAATTATGATAGGTTAGTCTGTCCCATCCCAGGGTCATCTGCTGTAGCAGCAGGAGGGAGAGGGGCAGGGCAGTTGAGGCCACTGGGTCACAAGGCAGCTCTGTCCATCATGCCACTTCTATAACTCCCTGCTCAGTCTTTCTTCAAAGGTTCTTCCTGGGACTTCATGTGGGAGGCTTATGAGGTAAAAAGGAATGTCATTGACTTTTGTTTTTATTGCCCCACAAGCGAGGTCTGTGGTTTGAGATGACTCGGTTAAGTCCGGAGAGCTGCTGGCAAGGGGCAGTCCAAAGTCTGCTTTGCTCCCTTGTGTGGCTGTCTGGCCCATGTCTACTCCCTGCCTCCCTGTATGGTGTAGATCCTAACATTCAGCTACCAGGATGGAAGTGAGCAAATAGGTGATTGAGCCTCACAGCTAGTTAAATAAATGAGTTAATTATTCTCATCCCACTCAAGGAGTAGGAGACCGGTTATAATTCCCCACCTGACAGTGCATTCCTGACTTTATAAGCCTCACTCAATTATCTACCTTCTTGGATGATCTCATTATTTTGTTCCTATTGTTGAAATCTATGCAAAGTTGATTACTCATTATTCTTCCCCCAAAAAAAGATACCCAAACCTCCATTTCTTTTTCATAAATTGTCTGAAGATTTAGTAGTTGTTCCTCTTCTTTTCTGTTCTACTCATGTGTGCATGGGAGAGTGGGAAGTAAGGCAACAACCAGTGGGTGAAAAAGAGAAGGCAAGTTATCACTGCATACTTAATGCCTATTTCTGGATAATATTCAGATTTTATGCAAGGGTACAAAAATCTCATGAAAATGCATTTTATGCTACAGATTAAACCAATATTAAATAAAATAGATTGTCTTCTATGATGCTTTTGAAAAATATGAACGAACAGTTGATTAAGTTATCTTTTAGAAGACAACCGGAAGGATATTATGAAAAGGTTGTAAATAGGGATACTGAGGTTTACACCATGTCAGCTTTCTGAAGGTCAGTTTGCAAATGGACAGGAGGAAGGAAGGATGGGCATGTGTTAGAGAATTTGAAAATAAACCTTTTATAATATGTCTAATTTATGTCATCATTCAAACCTCCTAAAAAATGTTTTTTAGTATCACCTGACACAAAAAAGTAATGTTTCACCAATTCTAGATTTTTTTTACTCCACTGATCAGAAATTATAAGTTCTCTATTTAGTGGCAAGCCTGTAAAAGTCCAATGACTGGTTTTCTGCGGGATAAAGCCCTAATGTTAGCATTTGCTCATTTCCATGGTATATTTGCTCCCACCATGGTCATTTCAAGCTACCAAAGTGAGGTCACTGAACACAGAATTGGCTATAAATATGCACCATTTTACAGTATTTCCACTGTACAAATACAACAGACAGAGGTAAATTATCTCATGAGCATAGATAATGGTCAGTCATGGTAAAATAATTGGGAAGCAACGTTTTTGCATATTTATCACACATGTTTTTAATATATTTCCCTTAAATGTATGATTTAATTTTTAACAATGCCCGTGTTCAACAATTAGCTCACAAATTTTCTGAAAGCCCAATAATTAGCTGCAAAAGCCAGTACCCACTGTCTATATTTCCTGATAGAACTAGGTCAGGGTAGAATCAAAGTCCCAGTGGGTCATCGTCAAACTTACTCAACTATGTAAAATCTTCCAAAATAAGCTCCCCACTACCCACAATGTCCCAGGTACTGTATTGGGCATCCTTGTTTGCTATATGTCATTTATGATCATAACAGCCTTTTAAAAATTATTTTCTTATCCCCCATTTGCAGAAGAGGAAATTCAGTGAAATGAGAGCAGTGCTTCCCAATGTTAATGTGCATACAAACCACCCAGATCTTGTTAAAACTCTGATTCTAATCCAGCAGGTCTAGAGAGAAAAGTCTCAAACCATTGCATTTCTAACCACTCCCAGGTGACACTGATGAGCCCTGGCCCACATTGAGTAGCAAGGAGCTAAAGGATTTATGAAACCAGCAGTGCTGGAGTCCACCCCCCTCTCTTGTTTTATCTCTTTATTTTTCATTTTACCACTTACATGGTTCTGTTGCAGGGAGAAAAAGTCTCAAACCACTATCCCAGGTCTTCAAAACTTCTTCCAGCCACGCCATATTTTTGTAACAGCGTTATGTCCTCATTTGAGACATGTCCCCCACTGAAGTGTTTTGCATCATAGATTTGATGTTCTGAAGCTTTCCATGCTCTGAGTTTCCAATGGTAAATATTCCCTCTTTTCAGCCACAGGATTGTATCCACCTGTGGGAGCATGACTGGTATGGTATGCCCAAGTCAACTCTGGAAGATAGAGAGCCATCCTCTGAGCAAATGTTTACGAATTCCATGAGGGTAAAGGATGGGGTTTGGTTGGAGAACAAGGGAAGAAAGGCTAAAACACTTTGTTGAGATGTGACTTTGGAAGACTTTGAATAATAGACGAGGGAGGCAGGGACACATGGGTGGCTCAGTCAATTGAGCATCCAACTCTTGGTTTCAGCTCAAGTCATGATCTAAGGGTTGTGAGATCAAGCCCTGCTCCTTCTGCTTCTCTCCCTACTTGTGTTCTCTCTTGCTCTATCTCAAAAAAAAAAAAAAAAAAAAAAAAAAAAAAGGCCAAGAAGGCAGATATTTACAGTGGGGAATCATTAACTGAGAATTAAGAAATGAATCATCTAAACAGGGTCTTAAGAAGTTTAGTAGTTTACATTAATTACTTATGAGACTGCTTGATCTCTAAATTTCAGATTTAAAACATTCACAGCCCAAATAACTGTTAATGACATTGTGGATTACTTTCACATGGTCAGTTGATATCAAAATGGTCACTAGAACATAGCTGCCTACAAGCAGAGCAGCTGGTAAAAAATGTTCAGCCACCATCGAATATGCAAAGCAAATGACATAAAATCCTTGTGATTCTTCAGTTTGAAGTAGGTAAGTAAAGATTAAACAAAACACTGCTTTCTATGAAGAATCTTTAAAATATCCATTAATGGCCAATTAAGGGGTGTCTTAGAACAAAACGAGGTGGACATGATGACATAATGACACCATAAACAAGTTGCTCCAAGTCAACTTTCAGAGAGCCTACTTACAAACAGAAGGCAGGAAATGGGGGAGGCCAAGTGTCTAACTCTTTATGTGTAATATCTCACTTTAATCCTCTTGTCAACTGGGTCAGATAGGTCTTCATCAGTTGAGGAAATTGAAAAAGGTCGAGTAACTGACATGTATAGTAAGTGATAAAGCCAAGATTCAACCCATATCTCTAAGTTTTCCTCTCCTCTGTGTCCTGGGACATTCCCCGGGTCCCTCAGCGGATGAAACCCAAGTCCCAACCCTCCAAAAAAACATTTAATGAAAAAACAAACAAACAACCCAAGTTCCTTGGACAGAAGGTGTGGTGGAAGCTACCTTGCTGGAAAACTCCAAGACAAAGGCTCCCCATCCCGCCCCCCACCAGAGACCATTTCCATGGAGACATGCAAACACCACAAAGCCAGAAAGCAGTGTTGAAAATGGATTAGGGAGTATATTAAACACTGCATTTTCTTTTTCCTAAAGCAAAAACTTCTCTTGGGTGGCCAGTTGGTTGAGACTGTTAGTGCAAAGGCCCCAGCCCCTATGATGATGGAAGACCCAGACGGGCCCCTAGGGCATTCAGCATTGGGTAGCCTTGGAAGAATCACCCCTGCTTGAATAGTCTCCACAGTGTGGGACTGAGAAGGTTCTCTAAGCCCTGGGGTGAATGGGACTCATTGTGCACAGGATTTTCAGAGTGCCCTGGGGAAAATGCTGAAGTAAACCTCCACCTAAGATTTCTGTAGCTTCCATGCACTCTCTACAACCTTCATGAGTCTACTCTAATTCTTTTTTCTCTTTCTTTGTCTCCTTGCAGGTTTGGCCGTAAGCTCTGCCTCTTGGTCACAATCCTCATAAACACTGCATCTGGAGTTCTCATGGCCGTCTCCCCAAACTATACATGGGTGTTAATTTTCCGCTTGATCCAGGGGCTGGTCAGCAAGGCAGGCTGGTTAATAGGCTACATCCAGAGTAAGAATTGCTTGTGGCTGTGAGAACAAAGCCACGTTGCTGCCCAAACCCTCAGGAGACGGGAGGGGGCTGTGCCCAAAAATGGACCCAGCTTCAAGAGAATGTGGAGAGACTTTTTTGTTCTGTATCAAAAGGATTTCTAAAGCCTTTTCAGTCAACTCATTCTACATTGTTCCTATAAAGAAAACAATGAAGGCAGAAATGAGAGTAAACGTCATGCCATCCAGATTCTCATATAACTTCTTAGAAAAATGTTTTCTGTACCCTGGGGTGTTACATACAGAGAAAACCTAGCCTACCAGGCCTATACATAAAGAAAAATTCAGTGATGAGAGATACGTCAGATTTATAGGGGACTTTACTGCTTTGCATAAATGGATTCTAGGAAACCACTGTTATACTCACTTGATATACCCGGAAATGGAGAATATGAGCCCTGTGGGGAGCCTGAGTTCCCCAGGGCCTCCTCTGACCAGGAACATCATTCCATCCCTCTCACTAGCAGCCAGTCTTATGCTGAAACTCCATGGAGTATAGGAGAATATTTGAATCCTAACAGCATAACATCTTCAAAGCCATATTTTTAAAAATTAGCATCATAATTAGAGCTTGGGAATGAGCTCCATCTTTACTTTCCCCCGGCTACAGTCAAATAGCATCCATACAAAGGGAAGTGGATGCTTTGAAATTAAAACCATCACTATCATAAAACCTGTATTACCCCTGACAGCTAGAATATGTGTGTTTAAAACTCTAGCTGGTAAAGTTAATTTGGGGATCTCTGTGAGATACAGAAGAAGGATGCTGGATGCTATTACGTGCTGTCGTGGTAGGCATCTAATCTCCATGCGAGCAGCAAAGGAATATATCAAAGTACAGTTATTCAATCAGTAATTCGGTTTTTTAGAACACATAACATGCAGAAATATGTATAATTGAAATGTGTAAATTTAAATTTCAGCCTTCTACCCATTATTTCTTCTCCAGGCCCTCTGAACGACCTTTTTCTGCGCCGCCATCCCCAGACCCTGCCTGTGACCCCAACCACTTCAAAATATTTTCTATTTATTGAGCACTTACAGGCTTTTGTTTAACTCTGTTTTAAATACTTTTTGATAATTTGCAATAATATATAGAAACATTTTAGGATGCATTTCTATATGGTTTATAAATAGTTGATGTATTTACCATGATTACTAAACATTTAAAACAAAAGATCTGTGGCTCATGAAATATCTGGAATTTAAATTCTAGTATGTTTGTGATGCAGAAATGACTAGTCCCTAAATCCATGTACTGCAGACTTCATGGAATGGGATAAAGCTGATTTTTTTTTTTTTTTTTTTTACCACATGCAGTGGTATGTGATAACCTGGCTCTTGGACAATAAAAAGCCCTGGTTTGGGGGGTTGTCTGATTTCTAAGTTGTAAATATTCCCACCATGACTGGCTTTAAGATACCAATACATTTAATAACCAGCTTGCAAAATTCCTGGAGATTTAAAAATCAGTTCTTGCAAGTCAGTCCTAGCTGACCAGTCAGTATGGAAACCCACTGCCAGGTTTCCAAGCCATTTACACACATTATCAGGATTGCCAAGAAAATACTTAATTCATATAAGACAACAAGTTATATTGAGATGTTCATTTACATAAAAATCACCTACAGTCTCAAGTCAGTGTTTGATCCATTTATTCAGGTCTTAAATTACCATTGCCTTACTATTCTTGATCAAAACTTTGCCAATAAAACAACTGGATTATTGGTTTTGGGTTTTTTTGTTTTGTTTTGTTTTAGAAAAAAGGCAAAACAAAAAAATAAAAACAACTTTGGATTGCTTCAAAAAAATTTTTTTGCACACATATTAAATCCAGGTGCAATTGCCCTTGAAATGACCCTATAAATCAAACATTTTGTTCACACTGGCAGGCCTCTCACCCCACCCAATGTGGAATTACAAGATCTTATATTAATTAATATAACAGCACTAATCATGACAAAATAGTCCCCAAAGAACATTGAAAGTTTTTCAGAAAGTTGTATAAAAAAACTCTAGAATTTGTCCTCCTTTTTAAAAAATATATATTTATTTATTTGAGAGAGAGAGGGTGAACTGGGGGAGAAGTAGACTCCTTGCTGAGCAGGGAGCCAAACTAGGGGCTCAATCCCAGGACTCTGGGATCATGATCTGAGCTAAAGGCAACTGCTTAGCCGACTGAGCCACTCAGGTGCCCTTTGCCTTTGTTTTTGAGGTTGGCATTGGTGCTTCCCCAGAGTCGGGCAGCCAACTCATTGTCATACTGACTTACATTGACCATTTGGATTCTCTCTGCAGTTACGGAATTTGTCGGGCGGAGCTATCGGAGAACAGTGGGCATCGTTTACCAAATGGCCTTCACCGTTGGGCTCCTGCTGCTGGCTGGGGTGGCGTATGTGCTTCCTCACTGGAGGTGGCTGCAGTTCACTGTTACTCTGCCCAACATCTGCTTCTTGCTCTATTACTGGTAAGTCTATTTGGAACAAAACAGGAAATAACTTGAACTATTTCATTTTACTGAAAAGGCTGACTCCCCGAATGCATAGCATCCTTCCAAATTCCAAGGTGTCCTTCAGTCTCCTTCCACGGAAAGCCCAGGTCCATGTTTCTGGGATAAAACAAAACAAAAGAAGCAAACAAAAAAACCATGAGCTTCAACCAAATTTACATTCTCAGTAAGTTTACCCAGGGGGTTCCCAATTCTGCACTTAAAGCTTCAAAAAATTAATTTCTATTCTACTGGGCAGTTCTTGAACTATCTGGATATGCCACTGAGAGTCCCTCCAGATGTTTCCCTTGCAGGCTAGCCATTTATGGTTCCCGTCTTTCCTGACCTGGTTCCCAAGTCCTTCACCTTCTTGGCTCTTCAGCTCTTGCAACACCTGGCCGAACTGACTCTGCTTCCTGAGGTGTGGGCGACTGAGCTGAACCCCCACCAAATGTGATCTAGAAAAATCTCCCTAGGGCATCACAGTGGAAAAGATGCACGCTGTGGGCCGTGGGTTGATTGCCACTGAGCACACCCCATTTCTGTTCCTAATGTCAAGTCTTAACTGAGGAATTGTGTCTGGTTCCTCTCTCCATTGCATTCCCACAGACTTCCCTCCCAAGTTCCCTTTGAGCCCCACCTCTCCGAGAGATGCCCCGACCTGGGACCTTCCCAACCCCAGGCCAGAACTACCACCAGGGCAGTCCTGCTACTCCTTCCTGCCAGTCCCTCTTCCTCCCACCTACCCTGAACCAGCTGCTCCAAGAGTCCTCTCCAAACACAGATCCAAGTGGTTAGAGTCCTGCTCAAGGAGATATGGGTTCCTAAAAGGAACCCAACAATCATTTAAAGGCAAACAAGGAGCTTCTATTAAAGCATCCCAGTGTTCTGCTAAATTCAACAGCCTCGCTTGTGAGCTCCGTGACACCTTACCTCAAACTCTTACCCCTTCCTTTGAGAAATCAGCTCTCAGAATAATAAACATAAAATACTCACTCTACCCCCTATGACAGAACTGCATCCTGCTCCCTCCTCATGTGCCCCGGCTGTCCACTCTCAGCACGTGCAAAGGCCCAGCCAACCTGCCTCTCCTCCCACGAGCACAGGGCTGGGTGGATATTCAGCTGACCCCTGCTTTGCAGAGTCCCACTGTGAACTCTCCGAAGTGGGGACCTCCAAGTTTCTTGCATAAAGGCTGAAGAGAAGTCAGCAGGTGAAGGAGGAAAAAGTCTACATATCCCCTGCAAAATTTTACAAAATTTTTGTCTTGTGATAGAGCTTGTGGGATTTATTTTAACAACTTTCCAGTATGCACAACAGTATTATTAACTGTAGTCACCATGCATTATATCCTCCGGACTTAATCTATTTTGTAACCGGAAGTGTGTGCTTTTGACCCCTTCACCCATTTTGTTCACCTCCTTCCCCAGCAACCATCAATCTGTTCTCTGTATCTATGAGCTTGGTTTGTTTGCTTTAGATTCCACACATAAATGAGGTCATAAGGTATTTGTCTTTTATAGTCTGACTTATTTCAGTTAGTATAATACCCTCTAGGTCCACACATGTTGTCACAGATGGCAAGACTTCATTCTTTTATATGACTGAGTAATATTCCATCACACACACACACACACATACACACTCACACATACACACATACACACACCCATAAGTTTGTTTCCATGACTTGGCTCTTGTAAATAATGCAGCAATTAACATAAAGGTGCACATATCTTTTTGAATTAGTATTTCTGGTTCCTTCTAATAAATACCCAGAAGTGGAATGGCTGGATCATATGGCATTTGTATTTTCAATTTTTTGATGACCCTCCACACTGTTTTCCATAGTGGCCACACTGCTGGGTTTCCAACAGTGCACAAGGGTTCCCCTTTCCCTGTACCCTTGTCAGCTTTTGTTATTTCTTGTCTTTTTGATTCTGGCCATTCCAACAGATGTGAAGTGACATTGTGGCTTCGATTTGGATATCCCTGGTGATGAGTGATGCTGAGCATCTTTTCATGTACGAATTGGCCATGTGTATGTCTTTTGGGAAAATGTGTATTAGGATCCTCTGCCCATTTTTAAGTCAGATTTTTTTTTTTGCTCTTGAGTTGTAGGAGTTCTTTGTATATTTTTTTCTTTGTATATTTTTGATATTCACCCTTTTCCTGATACATGATTTGTGTATTTTCTCCCATCCAATAGGCTAATTTTTCATTTTGTTGATTTCCTTTGCTGTCCAGCCCCTACACAATTTTATTTCCTTTGTAGATCCAACCGAACCTCATTGTGTAAGATCTCTTGCAGAAATTTGATTACGACCCCTGGGGATGGGGGTTCAGGAAGACCCCCCCGATTCCATACTGAACAGCACTGACCACACTTGTGCTATACCCTAGGTGCATTCCTGAGTCTCCGAGGTGGCTGATCTCCCAGAGTAAAAATGCTAAAGCCATGAGGATCCTTAAGTACATTGCAAAGAAAAATGGAAAATCTCTGCCTGCCTCCCTTCAGGTGAGCAAGCGGCTGAACTATCAGATTGGGGAACAGTGACAGGAGGATCTGGGAAAGCCATGCATTCTCAGTGGGGGTGGGGGGAGTGACAGAGAAGGGGTCCACCATTTGCAACAAGATATTTCTGTTGTACTAGGATTAATGGGACCTGGTAAAAAATTCAAAATCAATCAAAAACATGAAACTAAAAGGAACACAACAATCATTTAAAGGCAAACAAGGAGCTTCTATTGTGTGCAACCCAAGGCTGTGTGTTTCACTCATACCCAAATACCCGATGTCTTCCTTACCATATGTCCACCAAGACACTCAGGGAGGGGAGATTTCCCCAGAGGGAAGAGTCTTCAGACACAAATAATTTCTTAGAATTTTAAACATTCTTGATAGAAACTTGCCCCTAAATGTTTTGATCAGTCTCCTGCCTTCTGAAATAAGACAAGTTACAGGGGTGTCCATTTTCTCTGCATTTCATGGTTTGCCTTTGGTAGACCTTATCACCTTTGGTATAAGCCTTTTGCTCTGACAGGGGATGGAAAAGCAAAAATCAAACTGGTTAGAAAACTGTCAAAATAAGAGTGATTGTCTCTGTGCAAGGATCTAAGATAGGTTGCCAGTAAGCATTTATGATTGACATGATTTAGAGTGAGTATTGGGACTTTTCCCACATCCTCTCTGGTTTCTGGATGGTTGGGATAGATACTTTTTTCCACTGATGACCAGCATAGTACTGATTGAAGTTTTAGATCCTCTTGAAGATTGCTCAGGGACTAAAGCACATGTGAGTCACTCTCTTGCCAAAGTTCAGAGTTCATATAAGAGTGGTTAAGTCTGCTGGAGGTTCTTCCCCTCACTCCTCAGGCTTTTACACACCCTCCCATGCTGCTGTAGGAACAAAGGTTCTGCTTCCCAAACCCTGGAGACTGAATCTCAACTGCACCACCTGCTGTTTTCTCCTAGAGCAGGGCTTCTCAAATGTTAATACCTGTGCCCAGGTTGCTCCTGGGGACCTTGAGGAAATGCAGATTCCAGTTCAGGTGTCTGGAGAGGGGCCCCAGGTCTTTCATTCTAACAAGTTCCAGGTGATACCAAGCTGTTCCAAGTGCCAAGTTCCCAGAGCAGAGCCTCCTGACCGCTGGGTGACACCTGGTCTGGCAGGGAACACACCCACCACCCTGTGCCCTCAGCCATCAGAGCCCCTGGGCTGGGCCTCCTTCTACCCCACTGTGCTTGACCTTCAGTGTTGGACATATGCACATGAGTTTCTTACCTAACACCCCCTATCCCAGCTTCCTCTTCTGTGGAAGAGGGTGAAAAAGACAGAAACCAACTTCCAGGATAGCCAAGATTTAATGAACTAGTAAGTATGAAAAGTTCACTATGAGCCCTCAGCAAGGGTCAGATACTGTTGTGATTCCCTGTAATACCCAGGGATGTCGTCTTTAACCTCCTGTTTCCATCCCTAGAGCCTCAGACCTGATGAGGAAGTTGATGAGAAGTTGAATCCGTCATTTCTTGACCTGATCAGAACCCCTCAAATAAGAAAACACACTTTGATCTTGATGTACAACTGGTAAGGAATGTTTTTCACTCTAAAAACATTTTTTTAAGCCCCATCCTCCACATTAGGGGAAGGAATAAGAGAGCCCTGTCACACAGCCTCGATCAAGTATAACTACTAACAGTGGACAGCAAGGGGATTCATTCAAAGCAGTTTTTCCTGATATCATTTTTTCAAGCAGGTGTTTAAAATCAGCTTACAGTCTCAAAGTATAGATAAGTATACTCTCAACCTTGGCATTGCCTTAGAATCTCCTGCGAGATTATAAAATGCCAACACCAGAACCCACACCCTGGCCCCAGAAAATACTGATTGAATTGATCCAGGGAAATGTCCAGGCACCATTACTTTAACATCCTCCAGGTGAGTCTGATATACAGCCCAAACTGAGAACTATTCCTTTTATACCTATGATGAGTATAGATCTCTTCTTATTGTACACGGTTAGCAAGGAAAGGGTTTTTTCTCTGTCTTGTCTGTTAGAGAAAGAAAGAAACTTATAAATGAGAATAAACCACAAAGAGTAATCCACTGGCTGCACAATCCCGTGGCTGACACATGATGGTTTCCACTGTCTGCAGGCTGCCTCTAGGGCTCTGAGCCCTTCATTCAGCACCAAGCCTTCCTTAGTGCAGCCCGCTTTCTTTTCGGTGTACCCCAGGACTTACTTACACTGGCCAAATGAAGATTTGGAATCACGGACAGAAACAAAGCTCCTCAGGAACTAATTTAGCAAGCTTGACAATACTGCATATAAAATGCAGCAGGGAAATTTGGCTTCGAATCCTTCTTTCCTTTTCTGAATAGTTTTGACTCTTGCCAAGTGTCCTCATATTTGCCATTACAGATGATGAACACTTCCGGTCAAAAAAACAAAATGTCAAAATGCTGTCTGTATTATGTCAGGAGAGAAATCAGCAAGAGGAGAGGTTTTACCTGTTTGGTTATTTGGTACCCATTTGGTTCTCTCATTCCCTAAAATTTGAATTAAGTAGTCAATCCCCTTGATCCCAATTCTATTAGAAGACCACAAAGAGAGAAATAATTAACATCCACTAATAACCTGATACAGTTTAGCCAAATAAATCACTCTAGAAAGATATTTTTTTTTCCTACCTTTCAATTCAGCCAGGGAATGCCATCCTGATTTCTTCTCCTTTCCTGGTTCTGGGATCATAGTCAGCCACCACAGTGGATCAGATCATGTAAAAGCAGTAGAGTGGAGGGAATAGCAATAAAAAGATGACAAAGAAAGGTGACCCACAATCAACTCTTATTTTTCCGGAAGGCTCTCCTTGTTGATGACTTGCTTTTGGTGTTTGGCTTGACCTGAGCTCTCCTCTTTGCTCAGGTTCACAAGCTCTGTTCTCTACCAAGGCCTCATCATGCACATGGGCCTTGCAGGGAGCAATATCTACTTGGATTTCTTCTACTCTGCCCTGGTGGAATTCCCAGCCGCCATCATCATCATCCTCACCATTGACCGTATAGGTCGTCGGTATCCATGGGCTACATCAAATATAGTGGCAGGGGCAGCCTGCCTCGTATCGGTTTTCATCCCTGAAGGTGAGTGTCAAGCCAAGCTGGGTTCTTGTCTTCCAAGGCCTTGAGAAGAGGGGATGTCACAGCTCTCTGATGTGATAAATTACCTTGTAATTTATCATCGAAGTCAATTTGGAAAGAATCTGGGACCTTCCTGAGCAAGCCCATGTCACCACCCTGTCTTTAACAACAATTGTACCCAACAGTTGCCTGATGTAATATAATACCTGATTGTTCCCTAATGTACTATAACAAGAAAGGTTAAGAGGACGCCTGCTACAGGCCATCGAGCTGGCCCAGAACAGAAAGAGCATGGGGTTTGGGGTAGAGCAGGCCCAGAGTGAAGTCTTCTTCCAGCATTTCCCAACAACTATTTAGGCAACTCCTTTGAGCTCCCTGCATCATCCTGCAGAAAAAATAAGAAAGTTTTGGCCAATGCAACCAATGCACAACTATTTAGTTCCTTTCCTTCCTTTCAAAGTGCTTTCTCAATGAACAGGAGCAAAAACCTATACAAAAGAATCTTATTGGCAACATGGAACTTTGTTTGAACCCTTTAGTTATTAGCAATTATTTAAGATTTGCCCATATTTTGCTGTTTCTTTTGGGTAACCTGTATAAACTAGAGTTGGCCCAGCTCTGGAAACCTGTAAAATCCTGTTTTCCTTAGTGACTGAGATCTAAAGAGAGTGTTAGACTCATGCCCAAGGTTAAAACTAACAGACATGGGAGATTTCGTTCAAAAGTCTTGAGTTTAGAGAAGAAGAATTTTGCATTCTTATCCCATTCTGGAATGTGGACTTTCCCCTTGCACACCTCTGGAGTATGGTTCGCAGACCAGGGATTGTATGTGGTGTGTGTAAGTGATGCATTTTTGCCCCTCAGATCTACAGTGGCTAAGAGTTACGGTCTCGTGCTTGGGTAGAATGGGGATTACAATGGCCTTCGAAATGGTTTGCCTGGTCAATGCGGAACTGTACCCTACGTTCATCAGGTGAGCACGTTTTCCTCAACGTGAAGAGGGTGAATGGGACATTTACTTACTGGCCAGAACTACTACAAGTGCCAGCAGAGTGCACCTCCCTTTTCAAAACACAGGGCAAGAGAGTTATGACAAGGACATTTAAAGACAGTAGCCAGGCCACATCTCAGTTATAGGCTAGGGTGAAATACAGACACTGTGTGGTGAGAGAGAGAGAGAGATTACCAAATGGCCATGGGAGAGAGTAATCAGAAACAGCACAAACAGGGGGCACCTGGGTGGCTCAGTTGGGTAGGTGTCTGCCTTCGGCTCAGGTCATGATCCCCGGGTCCTGGGATTGAGCCCCAGGCATAGTCAGGCTCCTTGCTCAGCAGAGAATCTGCTTCTCCCTCTCCCTCTGACCCTCCCCTCAACAGCTCATTCTGTCTGCCTCTCTAACTCACTCTCTCTCAAATAAATAAAATGTAAAAAAAAAAAAAAAAACCCTAAAAGAAAGGAAACAGTATGAACAGGACCTTAGAACAGTGTAGGGAAGCCAGATGACCAATGTAAAAACTGAAAATTAAATTAAAAATATCCAGAAAAGCTAATATAACACAAGTATAGCAGAATATGAGTGGAATTATAAATCATACACCATCTGTGTGTTGAAAAAAATGTGAACACCGTTTTTCAGTTCACAGACATTTTAGCGATTTGGGGAAGAATTTACTTGGGGGTTGAGTGGGAGATAACTACTGTCTGATGAGAAACTGGAAGTTAAGTCAGTTTCCTGCATTTCAGGAATCTTGGTGTCCTTGTCTGCTCCTCAATGTGTGACATCGGTGGCATCATCACACCCTTCCTGGTCTACCGGCTCACCCATATCTGGCATGAGCTCCCACTGGTGGTTTTTGGTAACAAATCCTCAGACGTGTCTTTGAATGAAAATCTATTTTTCTAGGGACCTCCATTGTTCCATCTCAAAATAGGCATCATGCATACTGGCCACTACCAAGCGCAGCTAGTAATTAGTACCTACTCTTAGTGTTAGTAATATTAGCATAGGTAATCCTATTAGTAGCTACTAAGACTCAAGTGTAGGAGCCACTAGGACTCCTGGCCTTAGCTGGACAATGTTCAAGGAGTGAACTAGAAAGACGTTTGCCTGAAAAATACCCTTAACCAATTTCCACCCCTCCTTGGGTCCCTTTGCCGAAGAGCTCATCCTTTCTGCTTCCTTTATGGCCAAATGTGGGAAAGTACAAAGTTTTTCACTTCATTACTTCAAAGAAAGTGGTTAAAATTTTGCAAAGAGCAATTTCAAAACCCAGGGGAAACAAAGACCACCACTAAGGAAATACATTAGCGTAATGGCATACCTATGTTGGTGTCAGGCACCCCTTCCTCAAATTCCTTGGGCAGTTAGATTTAAGGAGGGTTGAAACAGCCCTTCCCTCCAATACTGAAGGAATGTACCAATGTAGAGCCCTCCTCCTCCCCCCACTGCCCAGCCTGTAGCATGGAAGGTAACAGGGACAAATCTGATTATCAGCAGTTAACACACAGAGGCCGATGTTGAACATGATGTCTACAGACTGTGAAAGGGGTCCAGAAATCCTGGACACTCCCATTTATTCATGTCCATTCCTTTCTCCACAACTGTGGACAATAGGAAAGACCACCTCTTGTGCGCCACAGAGAGGGGTGAGGAGAAGTGCTCAGATTCACACACATAGCATTCACCTCCTCATGTTAGCCAGAAAGCCTCAAGGCACCCAGCTCAGTCTTCTTTTAGACCCACTGTGAGCCACTTTTAATTTGACAAAAATGTAACAGTTTTCCCCATGGGCCTACAACACTCACTTAATTTGAGGGGAGGGAGGACAAGACGCTCTGCACCCACATGGCTTTTCTCCTACCACTCCACATTGTCCCACATAAGCATCTCTGCTTGTTCCTCTTCTCAAGGGATTTGTGAGGGGGAAATTTTCCACTGCTATAGATGTGCCAGCAAACGTTCCACACAGCTGATAAAACTCACCCTCAAAACAGACCCAATTAATGCCTCTACATTGCAACTTAATAAGAGCAAGATGGCCAAAGTTGATAGAACACAAGCTCTTTATCTTAGTATAAGCATGATTTGGCAACAGAGTGGCTGGTACCACTTAGGGGACCCTGGAAGTCTTCCTCTCCCAACACTGGCTGAGGGACGTGTGCAGAGCCTCTTTCCATCCTGGGAAAGTACCACAACACTCTCTGGACCCCTGCCTTGCAGGGAAGGTGGAGGCAACTTAGTCTTGGCCATTCCCTTAGGTGGGCAGTGAGACATTTCTGGGTGGAGAACAGAGACTTCAGGTTTCTCTAAGTACCATTTAACAATGTGATGCAAAGTCCAGACCTAGCAGAGCCTCTGTTGACTCTTTCTCAGGATTTACCATCCCTGGAAAAGATAAAGGATTTTAACTACATTTCACCATTTCAAGTAAACTCAAAGCCAACTCCCACTTTTATTGATACTTCTAGTTCCATCTTCTTTTCTCACCAATCTGAGTAGTTAGCAGAAAACAAAACTAATGTTTGGACATTTTTACTCCTTTCCCTTTCTTTTGCACGCAGTGATGGTATACTGATGATTGTGGTCTTGAAGTAGTCAGAAGCAGTTATCTAGAAGCCTGAAAATCAACAAATGAGCAGTTGAAAGAGCACTGGAAAAAAACTGTTAAGAAATACCCTAGTTAATTAAGCCTACCTTTGCAAATATAAAAAGTTAAAGGGATGATAATTTGATTCATCTATTATATTCTCTTCATAATTCACTCACTGCTGAGAACCAAAGCCAGAGCGATATATTTATTATTTGCATGAGTTACAGCGGAGTGAATCTTTAGATGTTTGGAGAGACTCTGCTGAGGGTGGCTACTTCATTCATGCTCTGCGGCAGGCATTGCCACGTAACAAACAGGGGTTCATTTCAGTCTCAAACAAGCATGTGAGTTGGGAATATCACCCCACTTGATGGCCAAGAACCTAGAGCTGAATTTCCCAGGGCTCTGAGACCAGTGAGTGGGGGGCTCAGAATGGGACCCCAGGCACCCAGAGCCACAGCCAGCATCCAGAACCACTGAGCTCTGTGGCCTCTGTTTCCATCATTTTGTAAAGATGTAAAAATGGAGGACAGTGTGCATTTTTTTGGAACTCCAAAACTAGTGAACAACCCTCATCTATTTGCTACATTCTATTATAGCAAAACAGAACCTTAAAATCCCAAAACATTAATGAGAATTTAAAGACACATAAACACTCTACTGTTTACTATCAGCCCCCAGCATGTGCTAAACATTACAGCCAGAGACAAAGGAAAAAGGAACAAAGGAATTTATCGAACACTCCAGTTAGAACTAAAAGCATAAGCCTGGCTATACTTTTAAACACTGTGATGCAGTAATATATGATTCATTACTTCTGGATGCTAGTCATGTTCCAAGTTTCTGACTCATTTTCATTACTAAGTGCTTTATGTTGGCAGGATTATGTTCTTCCTTTCCTTAGAGTGGATTTTTTTTTCAGAGTTATTTTCTAACTCCAATGTATCTTAATATTATGGCAATGTTCTCTAGCCTAGAATAACCTTGACTTAAAATGTTAAGTATTTCATCTCCCTATAAGGAATTGTAACCCAACGGAGTTTGGAATCAGCAAAATATTTATAGGACAGTCAGAGATAGCAAAGAAATCTGTAAGTATAGAAAATCACATGCAAAAAAACTTTAAGAAGTAAGGGGAGTTCTGATTATAAAGCCTGTGTGTTCTAGCACTTAATGTGATTTGCATCTGTTTGGCTTCCAGCTGTGGTTGGCTTGGTTGCTGGGGGACTGGTGTTGCTGCTCCCGGAGACCAAAGGGAAGGCTTTGCCTGAGACTATTGACGAAGCTGAAAACATGCAGAGGTAGGGAGCTGAAATCCTCCATACAGGTTGAGGCCAACTCTGTAGCCAGTTGGAAAAAAACAAACAAACAAACAAACATGAGGTTGAATTTATACCTCACACCATCCATTGAGATCAAGTCACATGAACTCAAAGACCGGAAAATACAAACAAAGAAACAGTAAAATAGGGATGCCTGGGTGGCTCAGTGGTTGAGCATCCGCCTTTGGCTCAGGTCATGATCCCGGGGTCCCTGCAGGGGGCCTGCAGGGGGCCTGCTTCTTCCCCTGCCGATGTCTCTGCCTCTCTCTCTGTGTCTCTTATGAATAAATAAATTAAATCTTTAAAAAAAAGAAACAGTAAAATAATGAGAATACCCTTATACTTTCATAAAAGGGAAGGACTATGTAAGTACAGCAAAAAAAAATCCAGGACCCATATTTAAAAAGATCAGTAAGTTTGCCTTTATAAAAATAAAGACATCTGTATTGAAAACTAACATAAGTTAAGAAAATAATAATAGCAAACACGGAGAAAATATTCACTCCTGTACAAGGAGCTACTTTTCTTAGTATATAAAGAGCTCTAACAAAGAGGAACCACGCAAAAGAAAAAAAATGGGTTAAGGACTTGAACAGATAATTCAGTGAAAGGAAAATAAAAACAGCTCTTAAGGATATGAAAATATGCTCACTTCCTACGTAGTGAGAGAAGTACAAATGAACACTGTACTACTTACAACTTAGATTGTTGAAGATCAACCCACTTGGTAACATTATGTTGGGGAAGAATGTGGGGAAACACTGTCCTACGTTGCCAGTGAAATCTGAAATCTCTATGATGGCAAAATGACAATAGTATCAAAAATGTACATTTCTTTTTACCTAGCAATTCCACACTTCTAGGAATTTTATGTACAAAATGACATATGTACAGGATCACTATTAAGACAATTTTTTTTATGTAACAAAAGATTGGAAACAACCTAAATGTTCATTGATTTGGAGACCAGTTATATAAATCATGGCATATCATGCAATAAAATACTAAGTCATTAAAAGAACAAGACAGCTTTATACACACTGAGAAGGAAAGCCCTCTAAGATATATTATTATTATTTTTAAAAAGAGGAGGGCACCTTGGTGACCGAGTCAGTTAAGTATCTGACTTTTGATTTCAGTTCAGGTCTTGATCTTGGGGGTGTGAGCTCAAACCTCCTGTTTATAAATACATGAATCAAGTAATTAATAATTTTAAAAAAGAAAAATATAGAAAGTACATTTTCTACTATTTCTATAAAAATAAATTTACCTTGTCTCTGGAAGAATATGCAAGAACCAGAATATTGGCTATCTGTGGAATCGGTGGCTGTGGAACACAGGTGGGAGGGATTTCCAATGCACATTTTGTTGTACTTTCTGAATTTTGGACCACCTGAACCTATTCAAAAATTAAACTTAAGAAAGTCTAGTAAAGAAAACATAGGGTACACTGCCCTCAAGCTTCTTGATGCAATATGCTTAGATGCTTTTTAAATTCATTTTATACTCCAGTTCCAGTCCACGAGCACCATGAACTGAACTGAATTTTATCCTTTCTCCACAATGTTCACATTAACATACTCAGCACCGCGGCAGATGTGGCTGGGGAGGCAACACTGTGGTCTGAGGCTTTTTCTAGAGCAAGCTTGGAGCTCAGCATTACGAGAGGCCTTTAGCTCAGCCAGAGGTTGCACACTGGTGGCCCACAGGACATCAGGGCCTCAGGTGCTTTGCTTGACCCATGTGACATTTTTAAAGTGAGAAATTCCACATAAACTGGATTTCCAGGATCTGTTAAAGAAAAAAAAAATCAGATTTGGTAACACTGCCCAGGCATTTTCTCTTGCTGGTGGTTTGTAGGAGCTGAGCGATGGCTCGGTGTTTTGAAGGACATGCCTGCTGGAGGGGGCCGCGGTGCACCATACCCCCATGTCTCATGCCTCGTACATTTATCTTTTCTGCCTGCTGCATGTATTTGAGCTTGAGATTTTTGATCTAGGCCAATTGTCCCCCTGTATCCCTATCTCAGTGAAGCTTCCCATGCACACGAGCCTCCGCTTAAAGACAGACTGTACCCCATTTACTGCCGCATCCCTAGGACTTAGCACAGTACCTGGCACACACAGAGCAGGTGTTCCCCAAATAGCTATAAAATAAATGCTGAGTTCCTTTTACGGCATGTCTAAAGGTGGGTTCTCCAGGCTTCGGCAGCCAGCTCCAGCCCTGGGAAGGCGGTAATGTGTGGTGGGGAGGAACGTGGCCCGTACAGTCTGATAGGCCAAGTCTTGACACTTCCCATCATGTGGCCTTGACTCTTCTGAGCCTTGGTTTCTTCATCTATAAATGGGAACAACAATTTCTACTCACTGGATTTTTGTAATGAGGTAAATGCATGTCAAGGGCCTGGCCCATTGTAAATGTCCCATGGCCACCGGTTTTATTCATAGAAGTTTTCACAGCTGTTCTGTAATACAGGTAACTGTGTACCTAGACAACCAATTGGAAATCAAATTTTAAAATATATTCTGAACAGTTTTGAGATAGGGAAGCGCAGCTCGCTGATAGATACACACACGTCTACCTGTAAGAAGCTTCCTTCCCATCAGGCTGGCTCTGCAGATGAGGGAGGTATCTCAAACCTCATTCCTGGTTTTCTTTTGTTTTTTGTTTTTTGTTTTTGTTTTTTTCTCATTCCTGTTTTTCTGCATGCTTTCTGTTTGTGTGATCTACAAATGCTTCTATGAAGACTTGGGCTTTTCTGCTGTCTGTCTTCCATAACCCAGCTCACCTTGAAAAGGAAGCCAGGCCTCTGTGAGCTCGGGGGCTGCGGAGGAGAGCAGCAGGTGAACCCCGGGGGGGCTTGCAAGGGGCCCACCGGCAGGGAGGCCAGCAGGGGCAGCCCGCGGGCACAGAGGTGTCCCTCGGAGAGCTGAGCCCGGCCGCCGCCCCCACACTGAGGCGGAGGCGCAAAACCAGGGTGAGGCAGGTCTCCCCAAGTCCTCCGGCCCCCGAAGCCCGTCCTAGGTATGGACAGCCGCGGGGACTTCCCTTGCGGGAAGGGGACCCCTCACGTCACCCTCCCGCCTGCTGCCTAAGATCCCTTGGAGCTCTCAGCTCCCGCCTCCGAAGCCCTTCTCACGGCTGCTCGCGCCGTCCCAGGCGGCCCCTCCAACAGGTGCTAGTATTGCTAGGCCCGGTGACAACCGAAAACAGGAAGGCAAGAGACATGAAAGAGTCACCGGGAGGCCAGTAAGTGACAAAGCCGAGCCAGTCCAGGAACCCAGGCCCTGGGGGGGGGGGGTCGGGGGCCGCTTTAGGGGTCAGTTAGCGCTGCTGCTGCTGCTGCTGCTGCTGTTGCTGTGGTTACTGTGGTTGCTGCTGCTACTGCTGTTGCTATGGTTACCGTGGTTGCTGCTGCTGTTGCCATTCTTGCTATTGTTGCTGCTGTTGTTACTGTAGCTGCTGCTGCTGTTGTTGTTACTGTAGCTGCTGCTGCTCCTGTTGTTGCTGTGCTTTCTGTCATTGCTGCTGTTGTTCCTGCTATTGTTTGCTGTCCTTACTGTCACTGCTGCTGCTATTGCTGTGATTACTATTGTTACTGTTGTTGCTGCTGTTGTTAACTGTTTCTGTTGCTGTGGTTCCTGTTGTTTTAAGTATTGTTGCTTGTTACTGCTGTTATTGCTGCTGTTGTTGCTGGTGTTACTATCATTACTATTGCTGCTGTTGTGGTTCCCATTGTGGTTGCTGTGGTTCCTCTTGTTGCTGTTGTTACTATTGCTGCTGTTGTTGCCATTGTTGCTGCTGCTGTTACTGTTGCTGCTCCTACTGTTCCTATGGTTACTATTGCTGCTGCTGCTGCTACTCCTGTTGTTGCTGCTGTGGTTATTGTTATTGCTGTCGCTATTGTTGCTGTCATTGCTGCTGTTATTACTGTTGCTGCTGCTATTTTTCCTGCTGCTACCACTCCTGTTGTTTTTGAAGTCCTTACTGTCATTGTTGCTGTTGCTGTTGCTATGATTGCTACGGTTACTATTGCTGCTGTTGCTATGGTTGCTATCGTTGTTATTGCTGCTGCTGTTACTACTGCTGCTGTTGTTATTGTTGCTGTTGATGTTTTTCCTGTTGTTCCTATTATTGCTGCTGCTGTTGCTGTTGTTACTATTGTTGCTGCTGCTATTTCTTGCTGCTACTGTTCCTGTTGTTGCTGTGGTTACTATGGTTACTATTGCTGCTGCTGCTGCTGCTATTGTTATTATTGCTGTGGTTTCTATGGTTACTATTGCCACTGCAGCTGTTGCTGTTGCTATGGTCGCTGTCATTGTTGCTGTTGTTACTGTTGCTGCTGTGTTGTTCCTGCTGCTACCCCCTCATTGTTACTGCTGTCTTTAGTGTCACTGCTGCTGCTGTTGCTGTGATTACTATTGTTGCTGTTGTTATTGTTGCTGCTGCTGCTCCTGTTGTTTCTGCTGTGGTTACTGTTGTTGCCACTGCTGCTGTTGCTATGGTTGCTGCTGTTGTCATTGTTGCTGTTGTTATTGTTGCTGCTGTTATTATTGTTGCTGCTGCTATTTTTCTTGGTGCTACTGCTCCTGTTGTTGTTGCTGTCCTTACTGTTGTTTCTGCTGCTGCTGCTATTACTGTGGCTGCTATTGTTGTTGTTATTGCTGCTGCTGTTGTTATCATTGTTGCTGTTATTGCCATCATTGCTGTTGTTGCTGCTGCAGTTCATGTTGTTAGTATTGCTGCTGTGGTTCCTCTTATTGTTGGTATTGTTGCTTCTTCTGCTGTTCTTGCTGCTGTTGCTATTGTTATTATTGCTGCTGCTGTGGTTCCCATTGTTGTAGTGGTTACTGTTGTTGCTGCTGTTGTTGTCACTGTTACTATTGTTGCTGCTGTTGTTGCTGCCATTATTATTGCTGCTGCTGTGGTTCCCATTGTTGTGGTGGTGGTTACTGTTGTTGCTGTTTTTGTTGCCATTGTTACTATTATTGCTGCTGTTGTTGCTGCCATTACTATTGCTGCTGCTGTGGTTCCCATTGTTGTGGTGGTGGTTACTGTTGTTGCTGCTGTTGTTGTCACTGTTACTATTGTTGCTGCTGTTGTTGCTGCCATTATTATTGCTGCTGCTGTGGTTCCCATTGTTGTGGTGGTGGTTACTGTTGTTGCTGTTTTTGTTGCCATTGTTACTATTATTGCTGCTGTTGTTGTCACTGTTACTATTGTTGCTGCTGTTGTTGCTGCCATTACTATTACTGCTGCTGTGGTTCCCATTGTTGTGGTGGTGGTTACTGTTGTTGCTATTGTTGTTGCAATTGTTATGATTGTTGCTGTTGTTGACACTGTTACTATTGTTGCTGCTGTTGTTGCTGCCATTATTATTGCTGCTGCTGTGGTTCCCATTGTTGTGGTGGTGGTTACTGTTGTTGCTATTGTTGTTGCAATTGTTATGATTGTTGCTGTTGTTGACACTGTTACTATTGTTGCTGCTGTTGTTGCTGCCATTAGTATTGCTGCTGCTGTGGTTCCCATTGTTGTGGTGGTGATTACTGTTGCTGCTGCTGTTGTTGCCACTGTTACTATTGCTGCTGTTGTTGCTGCCATTACTATTGCTGCTGCTGTGGTTCCCATTGTTGTGGTGGTGGTTACTGTTGTGGCTGTTGTTGTTGCCATCGTCACTATTGTTGCTGCTGCTATTGTCACTGTTACTATTGTTGCTGCTGTTGTTGCTGCCATTGCTATTGCTGCTGCTGTGGTTCCCATTGTTGTGGCGGTGGTTACTGTTGTTGCTGCTGTTGCTGCCATTGTTACTATTGTTGCTGCTGTTGTTGCTGCCATTACTATTGCTGCTGCTGTGGTTCCCATTGTTGTGGTGGTGGTTACTGTTGTGGCTGTTGTTGTTGCCATCGTCACTATTGTTGCTACTGTTGTTGCCATTACTATTGGTGCTGCTGCTGTGGTCCCCATTGTTGTAGTGGTGGTTACTGTTGCTGCTGCTGTTGTTGCCAATGTTATGATTGTTGCTGCTGTTGTTGCTGCCATTACTATTACTGCTGCTGTGGTTCCCATTGTTGTGGTGGTGGTTACTGTTGTTGCTGTTGTTGTCATTGTTACTATTGTTGCTGCTGTTTTTGTCACTGTTACTATTATTGCTGCTGTTGTTGCTGCCATTACTATTGCTGCTTCTCTGGTTCCCATTGTTGTAGTGGTGGTTACTGTTGTTGCTGCTGCTGTTGTCACTGTTACTATTGTTGCTGCTGTTGTTGCTGCCATTGCTATTGCTGCTGCTGTGGTTCCCATTGTTGTGGCGGTGGTTACTGTTGCTGCTGCTGTTGCTGCCATTGTTACTATTATTGCCGCTGTTGTTCCTGCCATTACTATTACTGCTGCTGTGGTTCCCATTGTTGTGGTGGTGATTACTGTTGTTGCTGTTGTTGTCATTGTTACTATTGTTGCTGCTGTTTTTGTCACTGTTACTATTATTGCTGCTGTTGTTGCTGCCATTACTATTGCTGTTGCTGTGGTTCCCATTGTTGTGGTGGTGGTTACTGTTGTTGCTGTTTTTGTTGCCATTGTTACTATTATTGCTGTTGTTGTCACTGTTACTATTGTTACTACTCTTGTCACTGTTGTTACTATTGCTGTTGCTGGTGTTCCTGTAGCTGCTGGTGTTCTTAATGTTATTCTTATTTCTGTTGTTGCTGCTGTTGCTTCTGCTATTACTGTTGTTGGCATAGAGACCCTGGGAGCACAGCTGGCTTCTTTGGGTTCCTACGTCTGGAGCCAGAGACAACCCCAGCACTGCCAGGGGATTCGAGTGGGTTCCTCCTGCACTCCCCATCTCAGCCTGGCCCAGAAGCTGAGGCAGGACTAAGGACCCCCAGGTGGGGAAAATTCTGTGAGGAGCTGGAGGGTGCAGGGGCAGCTTTCTTCCAGATCTCAATATTAATATCAGGCAGAGCATGTCCAGAGGGTATGTCCGGGAACAGCAGGATGAAGAAAGCAACATTTCTACAATGAGTATCAGCAACTTTCAGGTATTTGTAAAGATAAGATGATTGAGAAAATTTGCAATTTGATTTTTCACTTGCCCAAGCGTAAAAAGTAAATACACTTTGGTAAAAATAATTTCTTAACTTGTATTTGCAAGAACTGATGATAACAATGTCTAGATTTTGCAATCATCATTTTAACCAATATAAGATTAAATGTAGTCATTACCCACATCCTCTATTACATAGAAAGGTGAACACTTTAAATAAGGAACATAGGCCAGTCCCATCCCCAGAAGAGCATTTCTGGAACAACTCCATCACATTAGTTAATCACCAAGCTCTGTCAATATTCTTTTTAGGAATTGCCACTTCGAATCCACTGCAAGACTGAGCCTGGACAAAGCTTACATTCATTTGTTGTTCCATTTATTTCTTACCCACTTTATTTTGGTTTTCAGCCTCCTCACAATTTCTTAACCTCCTCTCCATGTTTTTTTTTTATCATTGCAGACCAAGAAAAAATAAAGAAAAGATGATATACCTCCAAGTCCAGAAACTAGACATTCCCTTAAACTAAGAAGAGAGACCACTCTTGCCATCGCCTTGCTGTGATGATACAAGTCCAAACCAGAGATTTCTCCATCCACCACAAAGCCCATGTAATTCAATCTCACTCCCCTTTGAACCTATTAACTTGGACCTATAGCCAAATGGAGTTTGTTGTCCTATGTGTAGACCCATGGGACCAGATCCTACCAAGCTCCACCAACTTACTCCATTCCCAGCATTCCTAGGACAGTGCTGTTGGTGTGCTGGGAATTGTTTTCATCTTTGTATGTCTGTATTTCTTTATTTCTTTCTCCACAATGATATCAAACCAAAATACACAGGGGAATTGTGGGCCAGGGAAACAGAATGGAAAAGATCTGAACAACAGTTAAGTGGGAGCAGACAGCTTGCTTTCTTTTCTTTCTTTTTTTTTTTTTTTCAAGACTTTATTTATTTATTCATGAGAGATCCAGAGAGAGAGAGAGACAGAGACAGAGGCAGAGGAAAAAGCAGGCTCCCTTCAGGGAGTCTGATGTGAGATTCGATCCCAGGATTCCAGGATCATGCCCTGGGCTAAAGACAGGCGCTAAACTGCTGAGCCACCCAGGCATCCTGAGAGCCTATTTTCTTAAGGAAATAATACATTTAAACAATATCAAGTTGTCTGGAATGTATGTCAGTGCCATGTGTGAAAAAAAATTTAAATACATTAATTATTATCTGGGTTAAACTTTAAAGGAGCCTAAGATAAAAGAATCAGAAATACAACTTGAAGGTTGCATGCGCCTCAGTTGTTTGAGAGTCTGCCTTCAGCTCAGATCATGATCTCAGGGTCCCAGGATAGAGCTCCACATCAGACTCCCTGTTCAGCAGGGAACCTGCTTCTCCCTCTTCTTCTTCCTGCTGCTCTGCCTACTTATGCATTCTCTCTTAAATAAATAAATAAATAAATAAATAAATAAATAAATAAATAAATAAATAAAATCTTTATTTAAAAAAATACTCCTTGAGTAATCACTAAATCTTCTTAGCCTGGATTGAGTACAAATGTGTGCTTTCTACAAAAAAAATCTTGAGAAGAGTTTGATCAAGAACAGTATTGAAGTTGGCTTATTAAACCAAAAGTGCAATATTTCACTGATAAAAATTGCTCTAAATCTATGGTTTAAAAATTATATTAATATTTTACCAAGGTAATATAGTAAATAAATTTTTAGAATCGAAATACTTCAAGGCTTATCATGAAAAACAAAAATTTCTTATCCCACTCCACTTCTATCAATGCCTCTGGAATAATTTTCAACTTTTTTAGCTGGGGTGCTTCCCCTTACGATTTATCTTTCTATATCTAAATAACATTGTATGGATATCTCTTGGATTTTTTAGTTTTAAATAGTACATTACCTATTGACTTATTGATATAAAATATGAAGATTTAGCTCTTCAATCTCTCCTCATCCCAACACACAACTTTTCTCTTCTTTTCAACTCTGTGTTATCACATTGTTATTCAATCAAATAGTTGACATTAGCATCGTTATGACTCTGTAACTATTATCAACAGCTCAGCCACAGAGTGTTCTGTGATCATCACACTTCTACTCTTTCACACCATTTTGTTCCTCTTGAGCCTTGGTTTTTATTGCTTGTTTTCTATATACTCACCATTCCTTTTTCCCCCAACTCTCTGATAAAACAGTAAGTCTGTCAGTGCATTCAAACACAGCTCCTTCTTCCAGAGAGCCCTCCCACCTGGAGCCTGCTGCCCTCCTGGTCCAGTGCAGCCTGGCTGACATGAAGGCCTATTGCACAGCTGTTGCCCTGGATTCTCCTTTCCCCCATTCCTGAGCATTCCCAGTGCCTCTTCCTTGTGTATGGGGATCTTCCTAGATCTGAAGTGCCTCCTAGCTCTAGTTCCTCATTCTTGGTTTTCTCCCGCATTTTGAAGAAGCACATCTCCCAGGATTGTCCTAAGAGCACATACTTGTCCTTCTGAATTCTGTAACATCAGGAGTTGAAACCAGCAAACTACACATTCCTGGCCCTCTGCCACCTGCTTCTTACACAGCTCTACCGATGGGTAGCATTGGCCAGATCGGAAGATAGGAACAAGAGAGAAGTATCTTTCCCCTGTATCATGAAGGTGTCTCGGACAGCTACAGTAACAGCTGCTGGCAGTCTGAATCAAAGGAATGAAGGCTCCCGGTCATGGCTTGATGGCACTGGTGCTGTTTTAACAGCAGTAGCAGCAGCCATAAGAAGTGCCTTATTGACTTCATAGCAAGAACAGGATCCCGGGCCCTAGTCAGAAGCAGTTGCTGTTTCCTGGTCTTATGTAAACACCCTCTTCTCCCTTGAGCATACCTTTCTCCCTTTTGCTCAATAATTTTGTAAACAAGTGCCTGTATTAAATTGCCTCTCTTTCAAATACCTATAGTGGTTTCTGTTTGGCTGATTCAATGTGAATTAATATTCAGGTTAATGAATAACTAATATTAATGTTAATATTAATTAGGACCATGAGTAGACCACCTCCAGGAAATAGATGCCCAAATAGGAAAATCTGCAGTTTCTTAAATGATGTGATTGGGATTGAACACATTGATGGCATTGTTGTCAGGGAAAAGTGAGATACTGCTAGTATCTATGACATTCAGCCACAAAACAGTTACTTAAATTTAAGCTTTGACTACCTGAAATGAAGAACCAATTTAAAGCACAAGTTTGGGAGGCCAAGGAACTGTCGAATTTGAACACTGCCATGGAAACTATGGCCACAGAATCTCTGGGGTAGAGCTGATTGCTTCTGACTCCACTGGAGAAATTACAAAAAGATAATAAAAACTTTAGGCTTTCAAATGTCACGTTGAGGTATGACCAGAGAAATTGAGAGCTCCTTATAATGGCCCTAAAAGACCTTCTTGAGTTTTGTGGAGGCAAGGCTGATACCACTGAAAAGCAGACTCAAAATTTGAACCTATGGGTTAAGAATTATATCATGGATTAAATTCTCAGCCTAGCCACACCTCTTAAATATAAATTATAGAATGGATGGGAAGGTGTGGGCTCCTGAGAAATGCAATGGACACTGTAAGTGGACTCAAACAAATCTGAAAATCTTGAACCCCCAATTCCCCTGAACATCTTTGGCCAAAAGAAGCAGCCCCTCTCTTCCTTTTTGGGAAACAAAAACACATTCCCTTGCTTGAAGAGATTTCATGGCCTCCTCTTACACAGTTACCTTAAGAGGGGATGATAGGACTCCTTAAGACCCCCCCCCCACTTCCTCATGTTTGCCCAGATATGCCTAGAGTAGACTCCAGCACATCTCAAGGAGAGAAGTAAGAAGTTTGTTTGAGGACGATATAGCTTACACATGAAAAGACTTTCAAGATTTTGTAACATATAAGGGAAATCTGGAGAGTAATTTAGGAATCAATTGTAATGACTCTAGGCCTATGAGGATAAAGCAATGTTGGATCAGGTCCAATTTGTTGAGATGAGTGCTCTAATCCAAGATTGCAGGGTTTTTTTTCTAAGATTTTATTTATTTATTTATTTATTTATTTATTTATTTATTTATTTATTTATTTATGAGAGACACACAGAGAGAGGCAGAGACATAGGCAGAGGGAGAAGTAGGCTCCCTGCAGGGAGCCTGTTGCAGGACATGATCCCAGGACCCTGGGATCACAACCTGAGCCAAAGGCAGATGCTCAGCCATTGAGCCACCCAGGTGCCCCCCAAGATTCCAGACTTAACATGCCAAGTGAAACACCTGGCATTAGTTCCAGTAGTTTGCAGACCAGAAACATAGAAAAGATATAAGGAAATATTTCCATAATTCAAAATAAGGAGGACTTCTTAAGCAAAAATAAAGTCTAAAAGACAAAGTTTGATCTATGTGACTATGCAAAACAAGACTAAACTAAATGATGCTAGCCATGTAACACACACACACACACACATACACACACACAACAAAAACAAAGTCAATAGATGAGTGATAGATTTGGGGAAATATTTGCAACATATAAAAGATTTCCAAAGGGTTAATATCCAAAAGGGATAAAAAGCTACTAAAGCTCAATAAGAAAAAGACACTAAAAGAGAAAAATAATGGTCTAGGAATACAAATAGTTATTTACAGAAGATTAAAATGGTTAATAAAGTTATAAAGAAAAAAATGTGCAGCCTCATTGTTAATCAGGGAAATATAAATATCAATAAAATATGCTGCACTGAGATTAATCAATACAATTCATAAAAATTAATAAAGTTAATATCAAGTATGGATGCGGTTATGAAATGAGTTATGCCTTGCTGGCAGGAGTATTGATTGATACATTCTTTAGGAAGGCAATTTGGTAGTCTCCACAAATATCAGAAATGTGTGTCTTTGAGAAACACAAATGTGTACACAGAAGCATCTCAGAAATACTTATTTCATCTCTTCATGAGGACAATGAAAATTGGAAATAACCAAAATCTTTAAATGTGAGGAAAGCTTAAATAAACGATGATATATCTACTCACCAGTTAAAAAGGAATGAAAACAATTTGTCGCCACTCCATAGAAAGACCCCCCACAACAAAGGACTTTGGGGCTAATAATGTAGGAGTAATGGATGTACACTTAACTAATGACCAAGGGGGAGAACTCTAGGACTGGTCGGCAAGGAAGAAAATATTTTAGATTTTTCTTTAATTCTTGCATTTTTTATGTTTTCTTGTGAATGTTCATGGCATGTGTTCACGCTACTTTTTAAAATAAATGATTGACTCTGGAAAACGCTTTGATGCTTTCTTAAAAAGCTAAGTATGCAATTACCCTATGACCCAGTGATTGCACTCCTGGGCATTTATCTCAGAGGTAGGAAAATATATGTCCACCAAAATCTTATACACAATTGTTCCAAAATCTGTTAACAGCCAAAACAATCCTCAGTGAGTGAATGGTTAAACAAACTGCTGTATATCCATACTGAGGAATACTCCTCAGCAAGAAGAAGGAAGAAATCAACGATACATAACCTGAGTGAATCTCAAGGGTATTATGCAGAGTGATAAAACCCAATCTCACAAGGTCATTCGTGAAAGGGAAAATATCTACAGAGAAGGAAAATAGATTAGTGGTTGATTACAATAGTGAGTACATAAATCTATACATATTATACAATATCAGAGAACTATATTCACATATTCACTATAACCACATCTATTTCCTGGTTTTAATATTATATTGTATTTCCGTAAGACATAACTATTGGGAGAAGCTAGGTGAATGGGACCCAGCACCTCTGTGTATTATCTTTGTAGCTTTTTACAAATCTATAGTTATTTCAAAATAAAGTTTTAGAAATAGATCATGAAAATTACAGTATTTTTAAAAATTAAATGTCATGGGGGCCCAGAAGAGACCATTTCTTTATAACAATATTTCTTAAAGTTATTGATCAAGGTTCTTATGAAATCTGAAGAAAATTATGATTCCTCTATCCAGAAAAACACATACCCAAAATCTGCACATACTTTACTGACCCCTCATTCAGTTTGGAACTCTTGTTATAGACACAAGTTTCAGCAAATTACAGTCCATACGCCAAATCTAGCTTGCTGCCTGTTTTTTAAGGGAAGTTTTATTGACACACGACCGAGCCTATTCATTTCCTTCCTACAGCCCTGAGGTGGGCTGGACGGCCCCCTTCTAGGACCAGAGGCCTCGGGGTGTGTTCAGGGCATGCACATGCCAACAGGCCCCAATACTCAAGAAAAGAAAGGGGTTGACCATGCAGACTCTGAGACCCCTCTATCCATATCTCCATTATCTAATGCCCCATGCAGTAAAAAGAAATTTTATTTGGAGCACCTCGGTGGTTCAGTTGGTTAAGTGTCTGCCTTCAGCTCAGGCCATGATCCCAAGGTCCTGGGATGAAGCCCTGAATGGTGTGGGTCTCCCTCCTCAGAGGGGAATCTGTCTCTCCCTTTGCCCCTACCCCCTGCTCATATTCTCTCTCTGAAATAAGTAAATAAAATCTTTTTTTAAAAAAAGAAATTTTATTTAATTTAACCTAAAACAAAAAGAATGTATTCATATCTCTTTAATGAAGAATGAAAATCTTTTCTTTAAACATAGGTCTCCTGATGGGAGTTGCCCAAGCTCTTCTTGCATAAACCACATTTATAATGCATTCTTTATCATTTGCAGTTCTGATTTCTTTAGAATAGAGCTAGTACTCAGAACATTTTGAAACAATCTAATTCCAAAGTCCAGGATTTCTATCATACTTTCTCTTTTACATTTGACTTGCCCACATTTAGACATTTTAAGGGACTAATTTTAATTGAGTATCAGGAAAGCATTGATTTACTTTAATCAAATTATAACAAAAATATAAATCGTTTTTGCACCCCTATTTTATCAGGTTACATAATGTCATCAAATTAGGTAATTATAACACCAAGTTCAAAGAGAAAAAAAAAACAGATACAGAAACAGAGGTAACTGACCCTTGGTCAGCCTCTAACTCAGCTAGGAGATACAGATGGGTGAGCATTCTAGAATGTTGCCACCTAGCCAGAGCTGAGGGCTCGTCAGCTGGTTTTACAGAGGGAAATGTTTCAGTCAGAGTTCTGCAGAGAAACAGAACCAATAGGATGTATGTATGTAGGATAAAACAATAAGATCATGTGTGCATGTATCCATACATAAAGGGAAATATGGGCTCATGTCATTATGGAGTCTGAGAAGCCCCATGAAAAGCCAGCATCATTCATTCAGTCAAGTCTGCAAGCCTGAGAACCAGAGGAACTGATGGAGTCCTTCTCAGTGCAAGAGCAGAAGACAGATGCCCCAGCTCCTGCAGGCAGGAAGAGAGGCTGGCAGGGAGGCAACAGTGCTCCCTCTTCCACCTTTTGTTTTCTTCAGGCCCCTGACAGATTGGATGATGTCCACCCACGTTGGGGATGGGGAGAGAGAGTCTACTGAGTTCACTGATTCATATGCTAATGTCACCCAGAAACGCCCTCGCAAACATACTCAGAAACATTATTTAATCTGAGCGTCCCAGGGTGCGGTCCATCTGACACACAAAATTAACCATCATCACGGAGGCGAAACCCATGAGCCAGTTAAGTAGAGGCTGGTTTCCAGCTTCTCCTAAGCCCAAGTGCTGATACTTTTAAAAAACACAGAATTTTCTTTCTTTTTCTCACACAAGCCTCAACCGATAAGATGATGTGTATAATAACTACCCTGAGCAAAGGCCAAGAATAAAGCTCTTCCCTTTGCCTTGTTTGGTGAATTATAGCATAGGATCTATGATTAACAGGACTCTCAAAATGTGAACCTGAGGAACCCTCCCCTCCCCCCATTAAGTTCTGGAATCAAAAGTAAGTTGGCGAAGACTTCTTTGTGGCAAAAACTCTACTT